GCGTAAATTCACTCGCGCACGCGCATTCTGCAAATGTCTTAAATCTCGCAAGCTGCGCAGAGGCCGTGCGTAAATTTACGCGCGCACGTGACTTTCGTAAATTTCGCAAATCTGGTAAACCCGCGCTGGCCGCGAAGAAATGTACGACATTCTCCAAACCCGCGACAACCCCGGAGAAATTTGCTGAATTGTCCAAACCCGCGCCGGCCGCGGAGAAATTTACGAAATTGTCCAAGCCAGCGCCAGCCGCGGATAAATTTGCGGAATCTTCCAAGCCCGCGCCAGCCGCCGCGGGGAAATTCGCGGCATGTCCAAACCCGCGAAACCAACTTTAAGCGACCATTTGTTTTCCAAACTCTATTCTCCTTCCATCCTGGCAGCGTCAGCCATTTCCCTGTATTCGGCTCTCTCTGTTTCTCGGCTTGCTGATAAGGAGCTGGCGACATTTGCTCTGCCATATGTTTAATATATATATATATATATATATATATATATATATATCTCGTTCTCCTCTTGCGCAAGACGCCGCTGGGCCGCGTCCCTGATTCCTCCTGCGCTGGCTTCTGCTTGCTGTATTCGTCTCTGCGCATCTTCCGCAATGACGACCCTCTCTTGTTCGACATGTTGTGTCGTTGCGTGTCTCTCTGCTTCAGATTCTGCTCGCGCCCATTTGGCTTCGTCGGCGGCTCTCTTCTAAACGTGTGCCTCGAGGAGAATTTGCCGTATATGCGCACTCGCAGCTCTCGATTGTTCTCGTTCCTGCCTATCTCTCTTCCCGCTCTTGGATGGCTACGCAGCGGCAGTCGTGTTCCTCCGACTCAACGCAGTCTCCGCAGAGCCATGCAACGCTGCACTTGGGACATGCATTTAAACGGTACGAGCGCAGCGGCCTAAGACACGGCCCCCCCGGTTGGCGCGCTTCTCCCGGACATCGGTTCTCCGCCTGTGGCGGGCGCCTAAGTCCAGCGTTCCAGCAACTATCCCTTAACGAGAAGCTACTGGTGGTCCTATTTGACGATGACCGAGGTGACTCACGGGCATTGAATCCTCTGGAACTGGATCGCCCGGCCCTGGGGGCCTTCCTGCGCCCCCTGCTGGAGGCAGGAGTATGCTGTTCCCTTGTTCTTACACCCTCATTGATGAAATCGACATCCTGCTTTTGGGCCAGCTCGTCTCTGTCGCCCTGCATCACCAGCTCATCAAGTTCTGGCACCCTGTCCCTGTTTGGCCTCGTCAATGCGAAATCTGATCCGTGAAAGCCTTCCGGCAAAGGGGAAGCACGTAGGTCATCATCCTCATTCTTATGCTTCTTTATCTTTGGAAGTGGAGTCGTTCCCGCAGGCTCTTGCATGCCTGGCCGCGCCCAAACCTTCGGGCGAGTTCAACGTCGGCTGAGCCGACGAACTCTCGCCTTGACCTGGGCTTCCATCCCCAACATCATCATCCGAATCAAGAGTCGCCTGTTGGAGTGCGTCGACCGCTGCATAGTCAACTGTCTCGTCGTCAGACAGGTCTGCGCCTAGGGCGAGCCCGTCGGACCCATCAGCGAGGGGATTATGGTGACGAGATGGGCCAGGCGAAGTATGACGTTGAGCGCGCTCTTCGATCCTTTCAATTGAATGCGAGCTCTCCTTTTCAGAGGGTAGATCGCTCTCTCCCTCGCCCTGACCGTGGATCTCAAATTGCGCTGCTCTTCCTGTGCTAAAGTTACCTTGATCTAACGTTTCTCTGGGCATTCGTTCCAGCAGTTCCTCCATCTCATGGTCTAAGTCCATCGACGGTTGGGAACTTGGGTGTGCCGGCGCCAGATTAGATGCCCCCCCGGCGGGAGCTTTGGCTGCGCCATACCTCCCGCCCAGGGTTTGTCCCCTCACTACTGTCATCGAATCGACTGGAGATTCTCCTTCTGTTAAATCGAACACAAGTTTCGACGCTTGCCTTTCTAAGAGGCGGAGAGAACTAGGTCGCCTCGTAGAGACGCCTGCACCATGAATACGCTCGGAACGATAACGTTCTCCTTTTCTTCCGAGCGCTTCTTCCTTTGATCCCATGCTCTGCGACGCTAATGGCTGTGCCGCTGTTTCGGCTGATAACCAATATTTTGCCTGAGTGTTCATAATCCCTGCAAGGTGTTCTGTTGGTATATCATGGTCAGTGGGCTTCGCCGAGGACATGGGGGAGAAAGGATAATGCCGCTAAGCATGCAATTTGGCAATAGGGTAACCCTGAAAGGAGGAGGCCGGCCCGCCGGCCGACGCGCGCGCGCCGCAAGCTCGCTCCTTTTCTGTTTCCCTAGAGCCAAACAGCTTCAGGTAAAACATCAAAGTGAAGAAGAAAAGCAGACAGTGCAAACAAGGCTAGGGAGCAGGACGGGCAGCAGGGCGGTGGTGCGCAAGGAATGCATTGACTTTTCCTGAATCGCACGGGGCCGAGCAAGGAGCCGTCAGCATCGTGCCATGCCACTCCTCGGAGTTACCAGAGAAGACGAGCTGCTACGTCGCCATGTTCCAATC